AAATATTTTTTAACGGAAGATGCATGGTTTCTGAGTGTACTAACAACTCGCGGAAAACTGTGGGAATCAGCTACTATAGAATTCCAAAAGAAAAAGATTTGCGAGAAGCGTGGTTGGCGAGAATTCGCAGTCTGAGTAAACCCACGCGATATAAATAATTCATGTGTTTGTTCGGCGCATTTTACACTAGACTGCTTCGAAAGAACGCTCGATCTTGTGCCTGGCTACCAAAAAAGGCCAAAGCTAAATTCAGACGCGGTGACATCTGTATTTCCGCGCAGTAAGCCACAAAAAGCTATTAAGGGCGAAGAAGAAATCAAATCCGCTCTGAACAAGCCAGACAAGAGGTATTAAGCAAGCCATGAACGCTTGCATGGATTTGTAGTATAAAAAACTTGTACATTATGTAATTTATATTTTGTAGTTTTCATATTGTGGCAGAATTGATTTTCTGAACACTTGTACGTTATTAGACACAAATAAAGCATAAACACTTCAATAACATTTATGTTGTGTATATTTTTATTTGCTGCATATATTTTAAATTGTGTATTTTATACGAGTTCATGTTCTAAAAAAATGTACAACCATCATCTTAACTCCTTCCGACATCATATTGGGACAGTAATATGGAAGACAGACCCTGCATGCTGTAACTGGAGCCTTTCTTAATCGTAGGTTCGAATAGATACGGCTGAAGCGAAAACTTTGCTTCGTCTGTTTCAAATTTTACATTATTCGATGATATATCTTCGTCTACTTCAGAAGAGCTGCTAGTACTCGATCGGGCCATAATTTAAAATGACCAGTAAGATAATAAACGATCAATAACAGAATTTATTTACCCAAAATCACACCGAAATGAACTACAAAGCTGTTAATTTATAGTGTTTACATCAAAGACTGAGTGTTTCTATCACACACTTACGTCACGGCACTCATAGGACCACCCGCGGATTCAACAAACATGGCGGCGATAATGAACGAAAAATCAGTGAAACAAAGTTAAATTTCTCGCAAACGAAAAATAATTGAGGCGAATGAATATTCATTCCAAGGTAGGCTCATATAAAGCTTTCTTATGAGCGACACTTGTTCTGGGGGTGGAGTGTCCCTTTAAATCTATTTTCGTCTATAAAGTTCTGAATGGCCACACCGCAGCCAATCTTAAAGAAGCATTTCATTTTAATAATGAAAGACATAATAGTTACAATCTTAGAAATAGGGATACTGATTTAGCACCACCTAGGCCGAAAAAAGAATTCGGCAAGAGGTGCTTCAGCTATAATGGTGCCTTGCATTGGAATAATCTTCCCCATGAGGCAAAAATTGCTGAATCCCTAAGCTCTTTCAAGTCGATATTGAAACAAAGAATGAGTTGAAATTTGCTTGTGTGTTATCCTGCAGCTAAAATCAATTGTATTTATTTATTTTGTTATATTTTGTACTTCCTGTATATAGTTAACTTTTTGTAAATAGGTAATTTCACGCCCCTCATGGAAACCAGCCTTCCAACGGCTGTTGAGGCTAGCGTGGTTTAAATAAAGTTTTGTATGTATGTAAATGGTCAAAGGTAGTAAATATATCTCAAAATTTAAACAAAAGATTTAAAACAACGAGAACTATAAATATTTATCTGCAAAAACCAAATCTTTTGCAAAAAACCAGGGGGGGGGTGAAAACTGCCGTGGGCTCAGAATTGAGCCTGGTCAGTGGTAACTACCATGAGGTTTTCGGACCAGTTGCCATGGAAATGGCGTCATATGGCGTCAAAATCCGCCATGTTTTTGGCGACACTTTTTTGACTGACGAGCAGGAGCAGGTCCTCCGGTTATTATACAGCTCAGTGACTTTGACCCTCCGAGCAATGTTGATCAACTCTGCTAGAAAAACTACCTGTCACGGCGTGAAATGCTAACGTACTACACAAGACGTGAAAATATACATTTTGCCGTTGTCAACAGAGCTCGGACGACGTCTAAAACCCCTGTTAGACGTTTAATTATTTATTTATTTTCTACTATTAGGATTACTGTCATTGTATTGATAGCCGTCGTCCTGACGTCGCCGTCTCAAATTCGTAAACTCCCTATTCAGCAGGCCCTACAGCTACGCAAGCCTTCGTGTCAAATTTCAAATTTCGACCTGCGAACGGGCTGTATGGCCTGCGGAGGAGGTTGCTCCCTGGCGCCATCTTACGCCACTACGTATAAGCACTCGGTAATAACCTGGGGCCGGTTGTATAAAAACGTAATTAGCGCTAACTGTAGTTAGCGTTAATCACTGTAGTTAAGGGGGTCCAATACTCAAAAACTTTTTTTTGTGTGTTTTAATGCTATGATGTTCATCTTTGGTCAGTTTTTAGGGCATGGTACCACTAACATAAGAAAATGTTTTTCAAAGTTACCGTTGCCATGGTTACCATGTTAATCACCCCCGGTGGTGAAAAATCAACATATTTGTAAACATGATATCTCAAGAAGTATGAATGATAAAAACCTAAAATAACTTTTATTTAATAGTATACCACATACTCTTGGGGATGAACTAGAACTATGGTGATTGAAGCAAAAAATAAATTTTTTGCGGACAAAATATTGAAAATACATATTATCGGCATGATACTGACTATCACAACTTTAATGCTATTGCATATATTTTTATGATTCTAGTTCATCCCCAAGAGAATGCAATACAGAAGCTACACTGAAAATTTGAAGGCAATAGCTTATATACTTTTTGAGATATTGCGCATGCAATAACGGCCATTGGTGGTTTTCGGCAATTTGAGAAAAACTGCTTTAAAGTTGAACATATTGATTTTCAGACCAATATTGACCTACAATTGATGAATAAACGTTATGAATGTACCAGTTTAGTGTTAAAAGGTCCCTGCCTCATAGGTATTGACTTCTGTTTCCTGATTTTTATCTCCCCTCTTCTTTTTCTGGCCACACACCACCTTCCTCCTCTTTTTGACATCCGGCTTAGCTCGATGATCTGCTTTCTTTACATGCTTTTTATCAGCTTTGCAGACAACCTCTTCAAAGTAGTAGCCAAGAACTAGCCCATCTTGTTGTAAGATATCAACAGAAGCCCTTGAACCCATGTTGAAATGAGCAACAGCATCATACACGCCCAACTGCAGAACATTGCCCCCACAAAAATTCTCTTTGGAAGCCTGTTCCAAATCATGCCGTTCAACGATTCGTTTTGGTTTTGAGTTTTCCCATCCAAACATTTGACCAACAAATCATTACTACTTAGTCTATCATAAATGGGCCTAATCTGAGCAATAATGTTGTCTGGAAGACCACGTCCAGACTTATATAATTCAGTATTATTTGCCTTGTCTTGTCTAAAGGGGCACCAGCTGTCCGGACCATCAAGACACCAAGTATGTAAATTTCGCTTCTGTGATGAGACACAATGGATAATGCTGGAATAAATTGCAGCCTTCATTCCCTCCAAATTTCCACAATTACTTCTAATGGCAATGCCATAATAGTTTTGTAGTTTGTCAATCAAGGTGTCCGTCAATGGATAAGGTTGTAACACACCCATGGAGGGATAAATATCCTCGTCTTTGCCAAGTACCATCACGAGACAACACATTGGATTATTTGACCAGGATTTTCACCATGAACCTCAAACAGCTGCATCATTTATAAACTTGGTAGCAATAAAGTTAGCAGCTTTTGACAGGGCTATATATTACAATCTCGGTATGCTGGTGATGGCATGTTCATGCGAGTACAGAATCTTTTCATGGAGACATGTCCTTTACCAATGGATCACATGGCATAAACAAGCCTTTTATTCAAAGGATTTCTTTATCTTCTTTGAAGAATAAAACGAAAAAACCCAACCACATTCCTCGCATCGCAAACGGAGATGAGATGCACAACCCTGATGTTCGAATTTTTTATCTTCAAGCACGAGGGATGAGGATTCACCACATTCTTTGCAAACTACTTGCTGAAAAACCTCACTGAGAATTTCTATATCAATGAAACGATAGCCTGTTGCATGTAGCGATTCTTTAGTGGCATTTGGCGATTCTATAACGTTGATTTTTCGCGATGAAGCTGAAACAGTTGAAGTGGAAGTTGATTGAGCATCTGCGTCATTACTGTTAGCACAATTTTGGTGGGTCTCATTTGTACACGGTTTGTTTGCATTTTTAACAAATCTATTTCCACTAAATCGCCGTTTATTTTGCCCTTGAATTCTCTCTTGCCATAATAACAGTGAAACAATTGCAGATTATTCGGAAATAAGCAAAAATTTGGTGTAATAAATCACGAAGAAAGACAGAGAAAATCGTTTGTTGTGATATTTTTGAGAATGATAAAGAAGCCTACGATGAGAAGAGAAGGTTGTCAAGCGGTAAGGAAAGGCTATAGTGCAGCTAATACTTCATGTTAGTAGCCTAAAATTGTACATCACTATTTTATAAACAATTTTTACCTCGATTTCAAACAGCAAACTTTGGTTGCTAAGCTCGTTGCTATGGCGGAAATATTCAAAGTCCTTGGTATTTTGTCATTTTTCCCTAACTTAGTATGTTTTTTTTTACAGTAAAAGTCTCAGTAATGTTTGATAAGGTTTCAAAGAACCTGATTTTGAGTTTTTTGAAAATTCATAAATTTCACCCATATAAAGTCAAAATTTTAGTATTGGACCCCCTTGAGTCGGTTTAAAAAAACATCGTTTTTTCCATCGGTTTATCGCGGATTAACCGCCTCAGCTTATTAAAATCCCATACTCACTAACGCTCAGGCGATTCCGAATATAAGCCCTTTCGTATATAATGCAGCGACGAGGATTCGTATTTCCATGCAACACGCCACGGCGCTCAAACGAGTGACGAACTGACGATATAACATTGAACTGTCCGTGCCAGTGTAGGTATAGTGCCAATAATAACAAGCTTTCGTTGGTAGGGATGTAAATACCTAGAAAATATAAGGAGAATTTCGTCGTTTCGAGACGCAACCGAGGGCAATTTGTTTTTCCTAGAATCTCAATGTTTCCCTCGACACGAGGGAAACATTGAGATTCTAGGAAAAACAAAACTATTTCCTGATTATATGATTATATAGGATTATGTGATTATATAGGAATTCTCTGAAGCAAGTAATCGTAACTAATTCATTTTAAGCAGTTTGCGCTCTGATTGTGGATCGAAGACTCAAGGAAGGATTTTGGCAAAGAGATACTGAAAGAATATTCTCGCTGTGAGATAGTTCATCGACTTTACTATTCATGTATATATCTATACACTATAATGTATACATTGCTCCAAAAGCGTCGAGACTTATCGAGGGAGCTTTCGTTACATATTTACAATATTAAATTGTATAAAAAAAATTTTTGAAGAAGGAAACAAAACAAATTAGTTAAAAAGAAACACACGGACGAACAAGACAACTAGTTAATTAAATACAGTCTGCACCAAAACGATTAAATGCAGCCACATGCAAAACAATCCGACTCAACTAAAAAACCCTGAACACTAGTAAACAAATTTTATTAACAATAAAGGAAAAATCAGAAATATTTCCGTTGAGCAGCCACATAAGACGAGTTCTTCTGGATGTATACAACAAACTGGTGCCAAGCAAGGGAGCAGCAGAAGTGAGCAATTTAACGCAAGGAGCAGCATATCGGTCGCAGTGAAAAGGTAGGAGGTAATCTCATTTGGATACCCACATGCACAAGAAGGAGAGAAACACACTTTTTTAAAAGCAGATCATAATTTAACGTAGTGTTTGACAATCTATAACGGGTATGAAAAATAGCCGGCAAACGATCGGGGATTACAAATTGAAACATCAAGGTGTCTTATTTCATTATTTTTGAAACAACCAAGTGAATGACTGGAACGAATACTCTCAGGCAAATTGCCATGTTGTTCCAAAAATTAATACAAGAAATCAGGAATGAGTTCTTGAAGCGTTTTGTTAGAGAAAAGGGAACAATTAGATGATCATTAGCACGTGTATCATAATTTATTCTAGATTCCACATATTTAGGACATAGTTCAGACAAATACAAAGGAATTAAGTTATTGATTAATTTATAGATCATAGTTAATTTATGATTATTCCTTCTCTCTTTTAAAGAAAGGGGCCAATATGGGAACTTTAGAGGGGACTTCAGTACCCTTTCCATTCTGTTCTGTTTTTTTCACAAGGGGTGGAACGGTCACTATACCCATGAGGGACTAGCGTGTGGTGTGATGGCGTTTTGTGGGATCCATGTAGAGTAGATTTCATTTGTTCCCATGCTTTTAACCGTCCATTTTAAACAATTCCAATTACTTTCTTCTGTCTTTCAACCAGGGCAATGAAAGGCAGGAAATTGGCAGGGCAATGAAAAATTTTAAATGATAGGATGTAGAGTTATTAAGTAGCTTCCAGGGCTTCCAGAGGGAATTGAATAGAATTTATAGACCTAAATTTTACAGATATTGGTAAAAAAATAAGGGTTTCATGCATGTTTTAACAGGAATTTGTCCGAAAAAAAATTTTTGAGCCTTAATTTAATTGGTTTATGTCCGGAAATATTTTTTCGCCCCTTTTTTGAATCTCCGGAAAAAAATTTTTTGACCTCCCCCCAAACGGAATATTTCACTGATTGAAAAGGAACATATAATGTGAAAGTGTTCTGTAAAACATGGTATTTACCCGAATCGGGCGTCTCTTTAGTCTTTAAGAGGCTGTCTCTGTAAAAACCTCCAGGTCAATATGGGGCTCAAAAATAGATTTCTCTCATACTCTAGTATTTTGAAGATCTATCCTTGGGAACAACTAAAATCGATGTCATTTTACTCAAATTTCCTTTAAATTATTTTTGGGGGCGATTGATGTTCGATCGACAGGTAACCAAGTTGATACTCCGAATGAAGGCCAAATATCGACATATTTTCAGCGCTATTTTTTAAATCAAATTCATACCTAAATTTCAAACATTTTGCTCAGAAATATAGACTTATCCTTCTATTTTCGCGGGCGATATGACTTAGATCATTATTCTCTGGTATAAAATAGAAAACAGCGCAGTTATTGACCCTCCTGAACGGATAAAGGATATCGTCTCAAAATATGTCAACTTCGAAAGCTTATTTCAAAATCGTGGCACTTGATTGGCACATGACTTTAACTTTTCTATAAACTTCTAACAGTAGTCAACACAAATCGCCAATAATATCTTTCTGATCTACCATTTGACAAAAATGACAAGCGCGCAAACTTTGTAAAATTTGAAAATGTGTCGAAATCGAGCATACTTTATTATCGGTAAACATAATTATTGATATTAACACTGAATGAAGCTTGATTATGTAAATATATGTCTTTCATCATTATTCTTTGGTTTGGCGCTTGAATCAAATTGTTTGAGTACAGTTTGGCTTCACGGATAGAGTCATTCAATGCCAGTGTGTCCAGTGTCTTTTGCGCGCCTCAATGCCACGAGTCCTGATTGTGACATACTATACAATCTTCGCTCTGTTCGCCTTGTTTACCTCTTTAACAAATACCTTTACCTGTTTAACAAATAACAATGTTCAATGAAATTGGAAAACTCAGAATTAGTTATACTACAGACAGAATTTTCATCGTTTTTAAACTGTTTTATAAAAGTTTCGTTAGAATGTACGAATTAAATACTCGCTGTGATGTCAAATGTCAATATTTCGTTAGTTTCGCTCAGTATAGTTTTCTAGCAACTGAATTGTCTCTAGGTTTAGAAACAATTATCAATGAAACTAGAATTCAAGTAAGTCACGGTTCTGTATAAAAAATCAACTTTTTCAGGCCGACCCTGAGTCACTTTGCTCAAGGCTATGCTTCAAGAATTTATATTATTTCTTTATATTGTATAAAAATATGCGAATATTTTGATATAATACAAAACAATTCAGCGCAAACAGCTATAACCCATTTGAACGTCTCAGTTATTTAATCAATGTTATTCCTTTTTTCAGTAACAATTAGAAAGGTTCTGAAAATTAGAATTAATTTATATTCTTCTTTCCGACAAGCTTTAAAGGGTGACAAATTCGCAAGTGAGAACTAATGTCATTCTTACACGCCAGCAACTTCGAAGAACAGTCTACTGTGTCTCGGAATTTTCCACACTCAGAAGCACAGAATAAGGACCTAAAAAAGGAACATTTCTACATTACTGCTTACCGTCATTCTCATCTGTCAACATAAAATCTACTGTCTGTCGAAATCGTTTAGGTTTAGCTAACGTTGCGTGATCACGGCTATTAGTAAAACACGAAGCACGGAGCACACGGAGTACGGAGCACACGGAGCACGGAGCACACGGAGCACGGAGCACACGGAGCACGGAGCACACGAAGTACGGAGCAGTAGAAAAACGAAAATCCTTTATAATAAAATACACTGTTTACTATTACAAATTTTTGTTCTTATTAATAAAGATTTTTCGCGAATTTACACGTTGGGGAAGTAGGAAAATGGGGCTTTTACTGAAAAACACATATGATGCAAAACTGCCAAAAGTCATAGTATTTAAAATAGGATTGTGAAACTCGTTATCTTACATCTATCAAACTTATGTAGTTATATTATATTCCGTTGGCCAACGCATAAAGAAACACTTACTGTAGAGAACAGCCGATATATTTCGTTACCCCTGCCAAAAAATAGCCAAGTACTCATCTTTCAATGTAGCCGGGATCGACTGAACATTAAAGCTTGTGATGGAGAGAAGTGAATTTTCGGTTTATCCTTCGGCCCAGTGTGCTGTACGTGTTTCCTGACTGCCGGGCACGTAGTATTTTAAAAATACTGCCCGGAAGCCGCATGTAGACCAGTATTTCGATTCCGATGGAATTATAAAGTTTGATAGTTTAGTCTTTAGATACATGTGATGGATATTTTGACTATAGCCTAAACTAGATAGAGTACACACAATATGCGTTACAATAATGCGTACAGCCGTTGACTTTTGGTCCAGTAAGCTAACAAATCGTACAGCCGTTTACTGTCTTTTGAAGTCGAGTACGTGTAAAAAGCATACATTCCCAAATACTTGGTCGAGTACCCATACTGGAAAGTTCGTATGTTACGCCGGATATATCCGGCGTAGGATTTTACACATTACGCCAAATTTTTGGCGTAATACTAAATCAAATTTTCGGTTGAAACTGTTGGCGTGGCGTAAATGGCGTAAAGCGTATATAACGTTATAGTGTTGGCGACTTGGCGTTCACGAGTGTGTCGGCGGTGTGGCGTTATGTGGCGTTCTTAATTTCTGGCACAGTGGCACGATTGTTGTTCTAAATTTCTAATGTATTATAAAACGCCATGAAAACTTTGTATTTGAAATAATTTATGATAATAAATATTCAATTGACAAAATATTGTATAAATAATTTTGCCGGCAAATTTTACGCGTACAGCAAACTGTCGAGCAAAAATCTACGCCGACGCGACTCTGTGACCATATATTTTGCAAGGCTGCCAAGGCAATTACTAAATAAGCATGCAAAAAATTAACAAAATGTAGAAAAAATTACTAAATTTCTGCTGTCAACAAAAGTGGTCTGAAAATCAATAGAACATCTCAATAAAACAAAATCAGTAATACACTTTCCATCACTGAAACTATGTTTTTTCCATGTTTTTCTTTCTCACTTGTACTTTTGATTGCAATTGTGCAAAATGCAAATATGGTGTCGCGTTGTCGAGCCGGTGTCACATCGGATTTGGACTCCCCACGGATATGGACCCCCCGGTCCATATCAGCTAGCGGATTCGGACCCCTACGGTACATATCTGCTAGCTGATATGTAAGCAGAAAAAATTATAAATCATAAACTTTGATGGACTATGATTCTCTAATCTAAAAATCTAAGATTTTGATGATCTAAAAATCTTCGTACGGTTTTTAAAATAAATCAGAGGAGATTTATGACGATTTAAAACACTTTCAGTACAATATTCAAAATACAATAAGTTGCAATGATAAAATACGCGAGGGGTCCAAATTCGCGAGGGGAGTCCAAATCCGCTAGCGAATAAAGACCCCCCATAGGTCCATATTCGCTAGCAGACATGGACTCCCCGGTCCATATTTAGCCGCATGGCAGGCCCTCAATGTTATGGGGGCCTGATTTGCAGCGGGCAGGATTGAGGGCCTGCCACCCAGGCTAGTCATATTCGCTAGCGGATTTGGACCGGGGGGTCCATTTTGAGGGGGGTCCAAACTGCTGGGACACCGGGGCAGGGAGATTATTAGAAAAAGGTTTTCAACTTTAGGGTTAGGGGTTAGAGTTGGGACTTGGGGTTAGGGTTAGCGTTAGGATTATGGTTAGGATTAGTGTTTGCATGGAGTAGGGTTATTGTAATTGTAGACCCATTACAACCTAATACTTTATTGCATACAATGGCTTTACAACGCCAATAGATATATTGGTTACAACGTCTGAATTGTAATGGAACGGCTGAATTGGGATGTATAGCTTTGTAGGCATGGACCTGCAACTGTTCTCATTGAATTTTTGAATAAAAGGTTGTCTCATTCGAGGGGCAATTCACTCCAAAAATCCCGTACACTTCGTCAAAAAATCCGGAAAAAATCCAGAAAAAATCCATGAAATCCTCAAAATCCGTTGAATCCATCAAAATCCAAAAAATCCTTTAAAAACCACAGAAATCCTTCAAAAATCCGCAGAAATCCTTTAAAAACCACAGAAATCCTTCAAAAATCCGCAGAAATCCTTCAAAATTCTTAAAAAATCCGCAAATCCACAAAAAATATATGAAGTACTTGGTGTAATTTACTCGTAAAGGTTCTTTGCCACGTTCAAAATGGCGGACAGCGAAAGCTAAACGCTTACCGTGATCGCTCGGCTGTCATTATATTTCGTAATTATTGGACCACTCTACATTTCCATTTATACGCTCGAGTATACGCTAAGTTTTTTTAGCCTATTACTACTAAATATGTGTTCTTGTTACAATGACGTTATGTTGTAAAATATAATTACAAAACCAAAAGTTATTCACCATTGTCTTTTACTGCTTTTGAAAGAATAATGAACTTGTTTGAATTTTAAACAAAATGACTGCATGCCCAGCCTTCGTTAATAGTTTCAGAAGGCTGTGGTCCTAGTCCCAGTCCTCTGCTCGACCCTGACGTCCTGGCATAACGTTGACGTCGTACAACTTAAGATTATTTGTTCAAAACGTTACCTAGCTCTATAACTCTATAATTTAAAAAAATCCAGAAAAAATCCGAACAAATCCGGAAAATCCAAACAAATCCGGAAAATCCAACAGATTTTCAAAAATCCAGAAAAAATCCGAACAAATCCGGAAAATCCGAACAAATCCGGAAAATCCAGCAAATTTTCTCTTCAAAAATCCGCTAAAAATTCCGGGAAAAATCCGCTAAATCCGCTAAAAAATCCGCGGATTTTTAAAAATCCGAAAATCCCGTACGCTTTTTTGGAGTGAAATGCCCCTCGGTCTCATTATGGTGTATTTGGTTGAATTTCATCCAATGACCAATATATTACTGACTTTAAGAAAAATTACTAAAAAAAATTACCAAAAATTTTCAATTACCAAAAAGCCCAAAAAATCGCGAAATATTACCAAAAATAACTAAAATTACAAAATCTGGTCACTCTGGGACGCATATTCCTTTCAGTGCTACAAATATCATGTTTATTCATGCGCTTTTTAAATTTTTTTTTCGACCATTATCATTGCCCTTTGGCTGCTTTGAGCAGTTTGAGGGCTTTTCGGCTTTGCCGCTTTCGGTAATTGGGTATGAATGAATCCCTGGAGAGGAAAAACCATTCAATGGGAAAAACAGAGTCCAGAGCCAGTGCAATCTCGTTCCCCCAGCCTGCGATCCTCAGGAAGGAACACGAGGCTCTGGGATAATCCGTTGCCGGAAGCCAGGAATCCTGGCTAAAATTGAACTGCGCATTCCATTTTAACGGCCAATCAGATTCCTCCCTGAAACGAATTATCCCAGAGCCTCGCGTTCCTTCCCGAGGATCGCAGGCTCGGGGAACGAGATTGGAGCCAGTGGTAAAATGTTTGCTGTCGTAACCAATCCCCCATGGCGCACAAAATTTTTAGGGCAAGTTTACTGGCGCATATATCCGGCGGGCAAATTACGAACTTTCCACTATGGTCGAGTACGGACGCATATCGAAATGCACTATTATTCGAGCTATTATTTAGGCCTTCCCGATTGCGCTGGTAAAATCCAAACAAAGTTCTGGCAAAAAGGGCTAAAAAGTGCTCAAAAAGTGCTCAAAATCTCAAAATAGTGCTCAAAAAGTGCTAAAATTGTGAACAGTTTATACTTCTATAAAGATTTTCGTAATTTTTTTAAAATCAGCATTTTTAAAAAATCTGTTTCCACGTCTTTCTCCACATATGGAACAAACTTCCGTATATGGAGTTGTTTACGACAAAAAAAGGAGAACGCGAAAAAGTCAGCGTTCTAATTTTTTAACCGAATGTCATATGCAGCTGTACGGCTTTTCTTTTTATAGAGTTTTACCTAGACTTTCGCAAAGTCCTTTTCAAATGACGTCACTCTATTTCGCGCGGTTCCGCTTGGGTTCCTCGTTGAAAAGGACTTTTCCAGCCTGTTTCCCGCCAATTCACCGGTGCAGAAATGCACCGGTGACGTCACTCGAAAACTGATTAAATTCACTCAGCTATGACGCCATTTTGTTTTTGTTGAATTTTTGAAAGTATATATGTATAAAAAGAATATGGTGTTTATAACATAAAATGTACTCAGTAGAAGAAGGCATACAACATGGTCTTGACAAATTGGGATACCAATCGTTACGAGACGGTCAACAAGAAGTGATCGAAGCTTATCTCAAGGGTAAAGATGTGTTTTTTTGTTCTCCGACTGGATCGGGCAAGAGTTTATGCTATGAAATTGCTCCGTACATTTTTGATTTCGTATTATTTGGGAAGAATTCTGTTAGAGATAAAGATCGAATGGATTCTATATGTATCGTGGTGTCTCCTTTGATATCATTGATGCAAGATCAAGTGGCATCTTTGCGTAAAAGGGGGATCGAAGCAATTCATATTGGTGCCGACACTACTTCGCAAGAAGGGGATGATGTTAAAAGCGGAAAATATAATTTGATATTTGCCAGTCCCGAGGCACTGCTGAACAAACATCGATATATCTTTCGTGGAAAACTTAAAGATTCTCTTAGAGCTGTGTTTGTGGATGAGTGTCATTGTATTGCAAAGTGGTTAGTATTCACTGATTTTTGTTTTTGAATCTGAAATATATATATATATAATTATTATATAAACGTATTGTACTTGCTGTACGCCTATAATAGAGTCGACTTTAATAATTTAAAATTTATATTTTTATTCGTTAATAATTTTTATAATAATTTTAAATGCAAATGTAACTTTTATATGTAACATACTAACATGGGTGGCATTTAGAGGAACTTGGAGGGCCACCGCCGGGATACCCCCTCAGAAATGTATTTGTTGCCAATATGTATACAACAATTTGCAAACCAAAATGTGAATTCCCTGTTTGTCATGTTATGTTTGTAGTTGAACTGGATAAAAAATTAACAGTTGTCCTTATTTTTTTAAACTGTTTGAGAGGGTATGACTTTACATCCTTGCCCCCCTGTATTTGCATCATTCATTTCAGCAGAGATAGGTAGTACTATTATAGTTTAGAAATTTGGAATCAAAATAACTTCTGAAATAATAACATGCATTATGTTTGTGTTTCATTTACTTTATAGGGGTGAAGACCATGCTGGCAAGGAAGCACCATTCAGAGTTGATTATTCTCGACTTGCTGAACTTCGATCACTATTGAAGAAAGAAGTGCCATTTATAACACTTACAGCTACTGCAACTAAAAGTACTAAGAACATTATTATTAATAGTTTGTGCATGAAAGGTTGTGTGGAAATTTTGGCCAATCCTAATCGACCCAGTACACGTTACTCAGTTGCTGTTATAGATATTGATGATCTTTATTCATCATTCAGTTGGTTAATTGAGCAGTTACAGAACCACAATGTCAATACGCCCAAGGTAGTAATTTTTTGCAGACGAAAACAACACATGAGAGATTTGTTTGAACTTTTCAGTGTCTGTTTGGGTGGTAAGGCTTACTATATGCCTACTGGTACAGAGCCCAAAGATGACAGAAGTCGTTTATTTGCCATGTATCACAAAATGACAGACAAGCATGTAAAACGAACTGTTGAGGAAGAGTTTTGCAAACCAAATGGGAGTGTTCGTGTGCTTTTCTGTTCCATTGCCTTTGGAATGGGAGTAAATGTAAGGAATATTTATCTTGACATACACCTTGGCCCATCAGGAGATATAGATGACTATCTTCAAGAAACAGGAAGAGTAGGTAGAGATACATCTCAGATCAGCCATGCAGTGTTATTAAAGTTTAAAGGCTGCACTGCAAGCAAGAACATCACAAAGGAGATGAAATGCTATATTAATAATGATACCATGTGCAGAAGGGAAATTCTTTTAAGGGCATTTGGTCATACATCAGAAGATAGAGTATTGCATGCATGTTGTGATATATGTGCACGGAATTGTAAATGCTTGTGTGATTGCAAGAAAAATGATTGTACATGTTCAACAAAATGTTTACATAATGAATACCTATCTGAAATGGAGAAGCACCTATTAAATATTTGCCAGGAAAATGCTGCATCAAAATCCACAGCAAAGGTCAATAATGTCACACAGAAGAATGCTGCAAGACTAAGAACATATCTTTTTGACTTAAGGTTAACATTAACAAGTAGTTCAGGTACTTCAAATGCAAGTAATGAAGTCAATCTTCTCACAGGAATCGATATAACTACAGGTTATAGTAAAAGTCTCATTGACAGTATTGTGAAGAACATAAACTATATAAAAGACAAATCTTACCTGAGCGATAACTTTCCATTCTTTTCAAATGAGCATGTTAAAAGAACATGGGAAATAATAGAACTTGTGCTGGATAACAATGACTCAGATGATGATGATGATGAAAGTGATAATGTTATCAATGAGACCTGTCCAATTCAGGTATGTAATTCTGAAACTGGCTATTCATCACCTTGTAACAGTATCAATAGTGATAATAGCACCGAAGAATTTTCAGAAGAATCAGATTATTAATAGTTTTGACCTTATGGAGGCACCCCCTCCATAAGGTGTCTCCATGAGCCATGATGCCGCTGTGGGAGGTAGATTAACTAATAACATGGCAGTGACAAGAATGGAATATGGTTGAAATTATGTTACTTTCCTTTCGATATTAATAATGACATCATTTGATACTAAAATAATAGTAGGGCACATTATGTCAGATGCATTGTGTTGTTAGAACATATATTCAAACACTCATTAATTCATAAGCTTTTGGCAAATGATGTCACCATTATTTTTTGCGTGCTGTGGCTTTACATCTGATAAAACTCATCCTAATTAGTGTTATAGATATCTAATAATGCTTATTCTATTTAGTATTCTTTATGTATAGAGATGAGATGGCATCTATTGTTTTTGTGTTTGAATACATGCAAAACACTTATTTGCATTTTACCATATTATAAAATACTCCTGCTTGTGCTTTAATTAAATAGTATTATCTGTATTGTACTGTAATTAACATTTTAGTCACCATTTTACTGATTGAGCTACAGTAATTTTGTTTGTATCCCTCTTGTCATTATCACAATGACAAATATATGCATTATTCAATTATCAACAGACAAAATATAAATTTCATTGGCAATAAATGTAAAACCCATTATTAGTTTCTAAGTGCATTATGTTCACATTAATTTATAGTAATTTTTCTTACTGAACTTTTTCAGAGAATTGCTTATCCATGACTTCAATTTCCCCATGTCCATTGTTTCAAGCAAATTGTTTGGCATGGTGGGAAATGCAGAATGATACCTTCCAGGTATAAAATTGTAAACATCAGCTTGTTGGAGCACTTCAACAAGAAGCATCACATCATCATCTGTGTTGGAGCGGGTGTGTTTTCCAGATGGTTTGCTTATTGCGGTACTTCTATCGTAACTGCTTATAATGGCATCTGTGGCTTCAAACACTTCGACTTACTCTGGCAATACTTTTATCTGTGATTTCTCCTCTGTAGCTATGTATATCGTTTTTGAAATACTTATTGTCATGTTCTAAGTCTAAGTCCATGGGGTGGTTTGCATCAACCTTTCCACTGTGATTCACAAACCGATTCCAAGTAAGGGAATAGGCCAACCGTGGTGTTAGCATGCAGCTTATCTGAGCTAAAAGCTCCAGAGTAGCAAAAGCATACTTTGGACAATTTGATACCTTGTAAAATAAGTAGAAAAACTTGTATACATCTATAACTCTTTTGCCATCACCAAGATGAATTGCATCATTGTGATTTGCTCGTAACAGAAGCAGAACTAGCACATTATGGGTGTAGTTGTAGATGCCATCTTCGATCTTGGACTTGCCTGTAATTTCTGGGCTATGTTCACTCCTAAATCCATGCTTTGCTCTTCATGTTTCTTGAGGTATGTGGGCCGAGCATACTTTTTACCGCAAAATCTGCACACCAGGTCATTGCTAACAGGTGCATCTTGGCTTAATTCAGGAACTTGATTGATGACATACTTCTTCACAAAACTGTGCACGGTACTATTGACGTAAGCCTCCTTTTGTGCAGTATCATTTGGTAGACCACCATATGTATTAACTGTAGGTTCATCATCAATAGAGGCCATTCCAAAATGCTGCAATGCACCAGCAATTAGATAAGCATCTAGGAACTTGTCTAATAATTCACTAGCTGCGTAGTAATTGTTCTTAGGATCCTTGGTGACATTTCTGGCATCAATGACATTCCTTGCATGGTATATGGTTCCAACATCTCTAGCAGAAGATGTGTCATACAAATGGAACCATATTACCTGTTTAATTAAAAATTGAAATTAGTCCACTTTAGAATTAAAATTGGCCCTGAATGTGCATTGGTACTCAATGCTAACAAAACAATTGGTATAGACAGTTTAGTCAAACTGTTATTTAATATACACAAGGGTCCTAAGGGTCTCTTTTTAACAGGTAAAATTATCTGACATTTGACAGGAAAATAATTTAACAAAACTATGCGTTGCACCTTTAGCGTTAAAGTGCCTATGCAATGAAATTTTTATCTCCTTTTTTACTGTTTTTCTAAAAAGTACTGCTGGAACGATGAAGAATGACGTTTACAGTTCCTTCTCATCTCATTCCCAAGTTATCGCACTTTCTATATTTTGCATTTTGACGTCATTAGTGTGACTTGAGATAATGGCAATAACAAGAAAGTCTGATATATTGGTGAGTATTTAATAAAATTCAATGAAACTTGGTACACTTAGTAGGTGCACCCTAAGAGTATTTTTTGCAGGTCACGTGGTTGTCATGGCAACACACTAGTCCCCAGTCTCTTCTCTTCCTTTTCACAAATTTCCTCCTGTAGACCTCTTGCAGAGGATGTTTGCATGTATAACATATTATAGTAATAAGCGAAAATTGCAGAAATTGCTATTTATTTTGCTGGAAATGGATAATATAGAAATTGGAAAAGAAAGGACTGGGGATGAGTGTGTTGCCATAACAACTATATAAACAACCAAATTGTTGGCTTCGTTGCACCTACTAAGTGTACCAAGTTTCAATGAATTTTATTAAATACTCGCCAAGATATCAGAGTTTCTTGTTATTGCCATTATCTCAAGTCACACTAATGACGTCACAATTCAAAATATAGAAAGTGCGTTAACTTGGGAATGAGATGAGATATGAAGAAACTGTAAACGTCATTCTTCATCATCCCAGCAGTACTTTTTAGAAAAACAATAAAAAAGGAGGTAAAAATTTCGTTGCATAGGCACTTTAATAAAATATTAAATTTAACAGCTAGCCTGAAATTATAAAAAAGATGATGCTAAAACTGTTCAGAATTAATGTGTGCACTGAAATACTGAATCAGAAAAAAGTTCTTGAAAAAATTTTACAGAATTTTTCCCATTTATATTTAAAATAACCAAATACTGCCCGCCTGTGAAGCGAAAATTGCCCAACTGGCTTTGTTTCCCCAACATACTGGGGATTATTAAGAGAGATTTTCTTGTTTTGACTACTTTTTGCCCGACTTTTGCCCGACTTTTGCTGAACATTTGCCCGACTTTTCGACTTTCTAATCTTGTTGGGGCAGCCGCCTACATCTATGGGGGTAGGGCTTAATAAATGTCTTGCTATAAAGGGGGTTATTTGAATTGGGGAATAGTAACGCAGTAATCCGGTATCACAGCAAATCATGTAGCTATTACCTTAACCCATTCACATTGTGCATGAAAGTCTTCGAATTTCGACAGGAGACCAAGTAGTTGTGCTGACGGCGTTCTTGCATCTTGCATTGATGATTGTGAACTTTTGTGTCTTTCATGTGTTAAGTAATCCCCGCCATTTAGGACTTTAGCTGATAAAACATTGGGACCTTCTTCCTCAGAGTGACCTGGAACATATTTATGTGCCCACTGCAGTAACTCTATCATATCTTCTTCTTTCTGTTCATTTTTTCTAAGCACTCCCAAATGAACCTAATAAGCATTATGTAAAATAGAAATTAATTGTCGATTCGTGTAAGTTTGTAATTGCTGCATGATCATTAAGATAAGCAATAAAGTTGTACTTATAAAATTTGTACTTAAATTTGCAAAAATGTGGATTAATGCGGTTTATCATAATTTCATGCTTTTTCTGGTGAAAAAAGGTGCAAGTTTCAGTTTAAACAAGCAACGGTGATAAGAATATATATATTAAAATTTGTGCCCTTAGCAACTAACAGAAAAACAATCGCTGAAAAAATGAAATACAGTTATTTTCCTAAATTCACAAAATTTAATTTTGCATACCTTTAACCCATTAAGATGTGTCCAAATTGGCTATACCTTGTTATACTCTGTGTAACATTTTGCTTGACACGGTGGGAGGGAGGTGAACAGAAAAATTACGTGGGGACCCTCTCCTCTCTGTCCCCTTTCTTATTTCTACAGTTCCCGCAGTCATGCACACTAATGTATTAAAGGTATATGTTACCACCTCATTAAGACTCATTGAAATGAATATAACTGGAACCCTACTTAATCAGATGAACTGCCTATCTTTTAGCCAAATCTTGACCCCCAGACATGTCCTGATTGAGCACTCTTAGCATGCGTGAAGAGACTGGGAAGTTTGTATTCAAATTTCCAGTTGGAAGTATCATTCCAGTTATCTTCATTTCAATGTTAAGATTAAATTCAACCCAAATGAGAATATTTTTCAAACCTTGCTAGTTTTCTTTTTCATATCATCCATATGTTTGTGGGGAATGTAGCTAGGCATATAATCTTTAAACCAACCCATGTTAGGTATGTATTTGGCCCATTTTTGGCAAACAAGAACTGTAAATTGGTCAATTAAGGACAACTGTTCATCTCCGCTTGGAAGGAAGCTGGTAAAAGGAACTTTATTTACATCAGCAACAGTTATATCATCAGGCATGTGATTTGGAGAGACACGGTTTTCATATGCTACATATTGGAACATATGATGATCCTTATTCTGGTGTTGCTTGGTCATCTGTCGAGGTTTCACAATCATATCAACATTGTCACCTGTTAGTGAATAACCTGGATGCATACTTTGTCGGTGCTGTTGCAATTTCTCATTTGCACATTCCAATTCTTCATTCGAAGCAATGCCACCAAGAGTGCTTACCACAGACAACAATTCCTTTTCCTTTTTCACATCTTCTTCCACTTGTTTTTTCCACTTCAACAGGTCACAGTCAAAGTCCTTTCCAAAGCGCTCGAAAATGTTGTTCGTGCAATTGTAACCCATGCAAACATATGTAGAAGACAATCGTTTGAACCCCACTTTTGTAAGACCACCTTTCTTAAGGATAATGCTTTTGATAACCCTGATAGCACACATTCCCTCATTAAAAATGGATATGAGCTTGCACGCCGCATCACACATGGGAGGAATAAGGGCTTCATTTTTTTTCTGCACATTTCGTTTCTGGGATGGGTTTTGTACAGCTGCTTCTATGAAACGCAGAAAAACTGGTGTTCTTTCTTTTAGTTCATCATGAACGTTCTTCCATGTAAAATGTTTCAAATCATCTTTGGTGGTTTGACGTAGCAATGAGGGTGTAGTTTTAGCACACAATTGTTGGAGTTCACATGTTATACTCCGGGTTGTTGCCTCAATGACTTGATCTTTCAACGTGCTGACGTGCATAAAAGCCGAAACAATTGATTTGGGATTACCAAGCGCTAACTGCCTTATAACGTTGTGGTAATCCGTTAATAGGGGGATTGTTTTTGTCGCACTGTTTGGATAATTGATCACAACCTATTAAATACATCAAATGCACACCAATAAATAGACTTGCCACAAGTCCGCCTCGGAACTTTTTCCATATTTTTTTACAAGCCGGAAAGCTGAGAGGGATGCAAAGTTGAGGGCGCAAGCGGAACCGCGCGAAATAAAGTGACGTCATTTGAAAAGGACTTTGCGAAAGTCTAACCAATAAGGTACTATACCAGTTACCCTACTGATTATTTATATTATGGTTAGGCAGAAAGTGGGTATCAAACAATTATTTGTTTCAAAGACGAACAATGTTAAAGACAATTTAAGTTTGTAATGTAAACAAATCCTTTGTTTACATTTTGAACTGCTATATTTGTAAAATAAGACATACTGAATATCTAACACTATTCTGGTTCGCAATTGTAAATGAATGTAAACTAGAGTACGTTTCAATTCAAAAAAGTTCGAAAGATTCAAAATTTGGGCAATGTTTATATCTGTGGGTCCCCCTTTGTTTGAGCAGAACTGATGCTCATAACGGACTTGACATGGTATTTAACTGAACTGAGTTAATAAACATACCTATAGTATATGCATGCACTTTTATCATAAGAATCAGTAAAGTTTTGTCCGGGCTCAATGTTCTTCGTTTTTGCCGGTTTTAAGCTAAACATGGCCTTATTTTGTTCTTATTGTACACTCTGTAGTAGTTCAGAGAATAACTTGTTCAAAGATATATTATTTGCCATATAAAATAGCTCATAAATGTATAATATACATTTAATGACATACCTTCACTGACGAAAATTCATCTGATACTTGAACAGCATCGGTTTGGGTCGTTTGCTCATGTGTTTGTGAAATGGGATCTTCTTGCGCGAAAACAACCCGCCTCTTGACGGGATTTTTAGATGCATCTGAACTATCAGAGGTTTCTTTCTTTCTCTCCCGTTTTGTAACTGATTCAGATTGTTTTTCAGCCAAGCGTACTGTAGTTAAATTAAATTGTTCTCTTACAGCGTCAAGTTTAGAAATTAAACGTGCATTTTTTTCACTGCAAGATCGACAGACTATGCTTGATAGGCAACTTTCTTTGCATAAGATAACTCCTGCAACTCTCTCTAAATTCGCACACGCCAAAGACTTTAAAGTGCCGTTGAATAATCTCCGTCTTGTATCAGCGTTAGATACGTCTTTCCCACACTCAATACAAATACTCTCTGAACAAAAAACCCTTAAATACGTTTTCGTTGGTGTTATATCATTTTCCATATCAATTGTAGAGAGAGTAATAAAGTATAAATACTTAAGTAATAGATATAAATAACACCGCCCATATTAATTAACACCCAAACATGTGAAGATGTACATTTCACGTTTTCGCGCCAGAATAATTAATTAGACTGAAAACTGTGCAGGCGAAACAAGTCCGCCTCCTCGCACCGCCCTCAACTTTGCATCCCTCTCAGCTTTCCGGCTTGCTTTCCGGCTTGTAAAAAAATATGGAAAAAGTTCCGAGGCGGACTTGTGGCAAGTCTAAGTTTTACCTAATATATAGAATAATAGTATAATACACGTCAATTTTTAAACCTTACACCGAATTGTATGTTTAGTTAAGGGGTGGGGGGTGAATAGGTTTTCGGATCGTCTACAGTATAATATTGTGTATGATTCCGAATATTCAAAACGGATTGAAAGAATGCGAATTCAAAGCAGTAATTATGTACTGTATAAGACGTATAACGGTTTAAACGTATAGGCCGTACAGCACACTGTCACTGCCACTGAGCCGAAGGATAAACCGAAAATTCACTTCTCTCCATCACAAGCTTTAATGTTCAGTCGATCCGCTACATTGAAAGATGAGTACTTGGCTATTTTTTGGCAGGGGTAACGAAATATATCGGCTGTTCTCTACAGTAAGTGTTTCTTTATTGGTTGGCAATCGGAATATAATATAACTACATAAGCTTGATAGATGTAAGATAACGAGTTTCACAATCCTATTTAAATACTATGGCTTAATGGCTTTTGGCAGTTTTGCATCATATGCATGTTTTCAGTAAAAGCCCCATTTTTCTACTTCCC